GTGGGAAAAAATGTCATGAGTCCATTTATAAGGCTTGTTCCTTACTTCGATAACAAATTCACAAAAATAAAAACTAACAGAATAACACGCAAATGAATTCTACATGTGACTATTTATATATAGATATAGTTGTGAACTGAATTGTGATTTCATTCTATGACTAGCTGTCAGACTCGATGTTGCCACTTAACTGACATAAAATCGATGAAAGGATATCGATTTTCATTCGATTAATAATATCGTTAAAAGAACAATCTTTGAGGCGCTTTAAGTTCTGCACGCTTTTTAAAATATATTTCCCTTTATTTATTTAAATGCTATTTGAAATGTATTTTTAAGAACAGTTAAATTGTGCAGTAGCGTTTTGTTAAGCTTTAACCTATTGAGCGCCACGCCAAAAACGCATTACCGCCAAAGCACCAAAACAAAATAGTGTTGCCAAGAGTTGATATATCGATAACGTAAAATAACTTGTTTTTGTTGGTTTTTTATGCTATAAATGACTCTTTATAACTGTATGTTTTATTTAATATTGTGCTGTCTTCCACTTTTTTATATATGTACTTCGTACATATAAACATAAATAAAAAACAAACAATAACAATAAAATAGTAGTAAACCACAGCATTACTCTCCATCCTAATGGCGACACTGTCACGACTGGACGACAACGACGTAGCTGACCTTCCTTTTTGAAACATTCTTAGAATGTTGTGTATCGATTTCAAAATCGATCTAACCGAAATATACAGACATCGATTCATAATATTTTATGTGTCGGGGAAGGCGTAGGCCAAGTGAAGCACAGAAGAAAAGTCTTACACTCTTATGACAATGGGGGTTTGATATGATGCTGATGCTGCTAGATGATTTTGAGACTGAGAAAGAAAATGGCACAACACAAAATGAAAAATTGCTCTTCACACTTAAGTAAAAAAAAACATTAATTGTAATTTTGTATTATTATTAAAAAAAGGTACATAATTATTCATTAATCAACAATTGTATATAATTATTCGCACTAGGTAAATCAGCCTTACAGTATTAAAATCTTGGTCATGGAATAAAAATCAGTACTTATTATTCTTATAGAAATCAACAAATGGTACATAATCGTTCACCAATCAATCAAAAATTCAATCCATCAATCAAAAATCAAAATTCATTATCATCGACGCTTTCCAAAATCCGAATGAGTTCTGAGGAATCGTTCATGTTGCATTGCTCTACTTTTCTCGGTAATCACTTATGACGTCATCATGGTCATCTATCCTTGATCACGGTGCCCAGTGAACTGATTTTCGATGACGCGCTAAAGATACGCTAGAGTTGAGATATTAGATTTATTATGTGAAGATGATCTGATAACATTTTTTTTATTCATGTAGCTAATTATAGTTTTATGTTTCTAACCTTTAATTTTATTCAAATATCAATAATAATAGAAAAAAAACACCATTAAGCTGAATTTTGGTTAGTTTTCAAGAAATCTATGCCTCCCGCGTTTGACACTAGCGGTCAACCATAGACGACTTTGACGTGCGGGACATAGTATTTGCTTAGATAAAAATCCATTTTTATTAGTTCAATGTTTCTTAGTACTTGTGGATCTAGAAGACTTGTTTTTTGTACTCACATGTTGCTGGGTTATTCCTATTTTGAGGAGTGTAGAATTAAAATACCTGTAATAATTTTCCAATATCTATATTTCATATTTTTGAGAGCCGAGTTTTTTGTCAACTATAGACGTCGTTGGCGCTCAGGGCCCGCAGGTGTTGGTCAAGTATAGGCGACTTTGGCGCTCAAAAGGTTAAAGGATTCATGGTAAATCAGCTGGAAACTCACTTGTTTAGTTATCATAACATGATTCTATTTTAAATGTATTGTTATAAACAGATAAGAATAACTTAACCGATCTTCTTTGAAAACAGATAAGAATAACAGTTCTTATCTGTTTTCAAAGAAGATCGGTTAAGATTAACAGTTAAGTTGTGCCGTAGCGTTTTGTTACTCTAAAGAATTCATTGGAAATCAGCTAGTAATTCGCTTGTTCAATTATCATAACATAATAATTATTTAAAAATTATATTAGCACTGTAATGATGACACCGTAAATAATCGATCGAAAAAGGGAATCGATTTTTTTAATTGTTTTGTGAATGACAACACTTTTTTTTATTCACAAACTAATGAATTAATGATTTTTTTTATTATTATCTTTTCGGTACTTTTAATTTGTGCAAAAATATTCCCTTATTTTAAGTATAAATGAATACCGCGATTAATAACCATAAATAAAGATATATTTTTTAACAAATGCACATTGTTGGGCGTTCCATGGCCGAAAATGGGCATCTCTCTTTGGGGACTCAAAAACGTCCAAAGGTTTTTTTTTTAATTTTCATCTAGTACAAACTTTACTGACCTGAATGTTCATGTAAGGTTTTCTTATTTTCACCCACATTAACGCCTATCCAAGAATGCGTTTGTTGACTACTCTATTATTAGTTTTTTTTTTCATTGTTGCTGTAGAAGGAAGACCGCGCCTTAATGAAATTAATTGTAAACTATTTTTCAGTAAGAAATTAAAACCATTGTCAAACACCAATAAACGGAAGCAGGCAATGGGGCTTTATCATGAAACTCCAATTGAACTATAAAGTTATAATATGTGACTAACCATGTTATGGACGTAATAATAAGTAATGATGGATAAATTTTAATGGGTAATTTTTAAATTCATATTCATGCTATTTGTACACTTTTCGCGTACAATTACCATTAAATTGTTGATACAAATGACAAACTTTATATATATCGTCAGATTAACAAAGTTCCGGACTACCAAGGGACTGTGGCAGTACTCTATAGTCCGACAAATTCTATAATCCAGCACTGCCTTGTAAAACGTTTGTCAGATTAGTGAGGGACGACAGGTACTGCTACTGAACCTATCCTATCGGACTCCCAGGCAAAAAAGATGTTCTATCACGTAATAAAGATAAATTAGTTTTCCATTGGGTAACGTTAGTAAGTTTTATTAATTTTCAGTGTTACCCTAGTACCATCCTCTTACCTATTTCTGCGAGGAGCAGTGAATGTGCACTGTTATATCCCAGTTCAATTTATAGAATATTATTATAGAAATATTTATAGAAAGCTAGCATAAATACGGCCTGTGGGGCATTTTTATCTTAACCCCTTCTTTATAAAACAGGACAGGATATATATATATATATATATATATATATATATATATATGTATATAAAAAATTATACTATTCTGTATTCACTCAAATCCGGCACAATTTTCATACAGTATTAATTTGGAGGCTACACAAATAAATACCTATCCTTTGTGAGAGTTAAATCACGGACAAGAAAGTAAGATATAGTACGCTGCAATAGCTTTTATCTCCATAGTTCTGTGATTATTTATAACAATATCTGAAATGGGTGTTTACAAGTTCTCGACTGTGAAAGAAAACATGACTGAACGTACATTAGGGTAGTGTAGTAAAACTTCCCCGCTGCTCTCATAAATAGCATGACTTTTTTCTATATTGATCATAGAACCAACAGCACGTTATAAATATAAAAGCAAGTTCAATAATAATCCTTAATGACAATAACAGGTTCTTACTTTATTTACATATACATACTATCGCTTGTTATAGTTCACAAATTAGTTATATTAATTATTTAGTGCTTAGATATTTAAGTGAGCCATGGTAGATGTGTGGCTTAGCGCTCGCTGTAAATTTCGCAGTACACGAGCAATCCGAGATTGATCCCCGCCGGCACCAATGAAATTAATTGCAATTTTTGTTGGGCGTGACACATGTGTGTATGCGCGCGCGCGCGTGTGTACGTAAGTGCGTGAGTGCGAGTGTGCGTACGTGCGTGGGCGTGGGTGCGTGTCTGCGTGCGTGCGAATGTGTGTGTACTTGATTATCTTTTACATAATGTTAAAATAATTACTTTTTTTAAAGATTGATTTGCTTTGCTGGAAGATGTCAGTCGAAGAAAATTCTATATTATAGCTTTTAAGTTCTCTTACTTACATGTTACAGAATTCTGTACATAATTTCAGAACTTCTAATTAACTTCGATGTTATGTTCTTGTGTTTTAAATAACTTGATTAACACATCAAAGGCACATAGATAACCATACGATGTATTAACACTTGTATGAAATAAAACAAAAGATTGTTTTAATTTTTTTTATTTTAACATAAATATCATGCATTACAACAAATATAGGAACAATATTATAAAATTCACAGTTGCTTCTCTCACAGTATTTACTTTCGTAAATTCTAGAGATTATAGATTTTTTTAGATCATTTAGTTATTTCCTAATAATTACAAAACTTTATAGATATTTAATAAATTAAAATGTATTATGGCACATAATATTATATTTTAATTACAAACTTATTCTATTGCATAAAAACCAAAGTTGCAAGTATTCTACGAATTATGTCTTAGGCCTTATCTTTTTAGACTATGACTAATGCAAGATATTCAGTAATAAGTAACTTAAGTGTTAAAGTACATAGTCTATATTTGGTTTTAAAGTACTCATACAACATAATGTTCTTTTGAGTTCATCAATTATTGAACTAAGTGAGTTAGGTAGCCATTTCCTTATATCCCGTCCTACAGACGTTTAATTCTTAATTAAATTAAAACCTAAATAAATTATACAAAAGAAAGAGATTCATGTTGTCATGTAACTCGAGTATCAATTGCTAAAACTTTTTTTTATTACTTAATACCAATATTTATTTAGATATGTAATAATTCAATATAAAGGTACAAATAACCGTGCTTTTAAAGCTTATTTTACAATATGAAATAAAATTTACTGCACTATATGTTTTTATTTTTAATTAAATGCAAAAACGTGTGTTTGAAATTTTTCTAACCTTATGTTAATAACTTGACTTAGTTAAAACAATTAAAAAAGGAAATTGATATTTAAAGCATCACTTAAGTTAGTTCAGTCTAACCTCTACTGTGTCATCGGACAATATTTGTTGGTCGTCTGCGTCGTCGTGAGGACTTAGTTTCTCGGCTAGTGGACGAGTTATTAGTAGGCAACAGTTCTCGCTGGCCAGACCTTGCATCGCTCTCCTTCTGAGCACTACCAGAATGAGGAATATAACAACTCCTTGGAGACAGTTAAAAATGTCCATTATTTTCCTGAAATTAATAAATCTTAGCTTTAAAGGAAATATTTGGCACAAATACAAGAGAATCGACACCGAACAGTGTACACAGATTTCACCACACCCGGAGTTGATTGGGAGATAATGCTAAAAGGCATTAAGTCCGCCTTTTATATTTTTTTATTTAAACTGATAACAATAAAGTCAAAATTAATAAATAAAATTGAAACTCTGATTATATTTACATCAAAGTTTAAAATAAGTATCGGATTCATATATTTGATAGTAAAGTAATTTTTTAACTAAATAAGATTCAAAAAGCGTTTATTTACTTTAATTAATAGAATGAATATTATAGTATAAGATTTAATTACCAAATGATATGTGCCTGTCCGTGTGCAAAGCTAGCGATCTCGAATATCCAAGAAATACCCATAACTAGGAACAGCTTGAGAGAAACCAGGAATCTAGAAATATAACAGTAGTAGGTTTTGAAAAAAAAAATGTTTATTTGAAGGGCTATAACTCCTAATTTAAAAAAAGCTTGGTGGACACAAACGATCACCTAGGCATGATGATTAACAGGTGATATCCGTCTGAATAGAAGCCTATGGCACTGATAATTACAATTTTATTTTTATTTTACATTAACGTGTTATGAAATTGATCTATCAATAAATACAACTAATTTGAAATGAAAATTCGGTAAAAAACTAACAACAAAATTTTTGAACTAAATAAATAAATCAATTAAAAAGTATCAATTACTACTATTTATTGATAGATCAATTCTATAATATGTTAATGTAAAATAAAAATAAAAATATTAAAATATTAGTGCCATAGACTTCTATTCCGTTCACCTGTTCACTCTCTTTTTTTTCCAGATGGTACAAAAAATCATCCACCATAACGCCACAAGCCAGAATTACAGGTAAGAACGCACTAATTCATCGTACCCTTGAATGAATTATTCCTTATGCGGTATAATATGACTGGGGCATATTATGAAAATACTAGGCGGTACTTCTGTTCAGCTTAGAAGTTCATCTGGGTCAGTTCCATTCTCTTAAATATTTCTGTCGCCAGGCTGCAGTGCATGCACAGCTGTGTTCCGATCTGAAGGTAATGAGAGCCTGTCTATACTGACTCTCATTACCCTTAAATACCTGCTCAAGTAGGCTAGCAGTAAGATGTAAGGCTGCAGATGCGTCATCACCTCTGGGGTCTAATATTGAATCCCTCACAACCCCTTCCTGTTACTGTAAGCAGTCTGTCAATATTAACAGACTGTGAGGGATTTCATCTTAGTACCTCAGAGGTGATAACCCATCTGCAGCCTTCTTAATTTAATCAGGTGTTTAAGTACAACAGTAGCCAATTACCATCAGAGAAACGATAAGATCGTTTGTCATTTTCATAGTTAGAATATTATATTACATACAAAGTATAACGGGGGAGTGGGCGGAGCCCGTGTAGCCACTAAAATGTCATTAACATGTCAATTCACACGTATAAATGTCAACACGAGATGTGTTTTGACTTTACAATCGTTTCCACATTTCGCATGCAAATTATTTAGAAAATACCAAATTGCACATTATTTACATATAAATATGTATCCCATCAAAAACATAACTTGTAAAAAAAACCAAGTCTCGCAACTCAGTTCTTCTACCGTAAAAAGTTGTGAGATCCATGTAATACCAAGTCGGTTAATTTATTCAGTTCCTACTTAACGGTCCTTCTGTTTTAAGTTATTATGTAATTAGCTAATCTAACAACATTTTATAGTGACCATATCAATGTTAAAAATCTATTATGTTTTAAATATATACATTGACTTGGCCATCGCATGAAAATCTCACAAGAAATACATTTTATATTAAATTAGATTGCTTAATGCGATTGCCAAGTCAATCTATATATTTAAAACGTAAAAGATTTTTAACATTGATATGGTCACTATAAAATGTTGTTAGATTAGTCCGGTACCTTCTACTTCCTGAATACCAACAACGCACCTACATACACCTATATCGAATACTGATTCATTAACTGCAAATGTAACTTTGTAATTCTATATATATATATATATATATATATATATATGGGATACAAAGTTATCTATGCAGTTGGTATATCTAGAAAACTCGACCGAAATTAAAAAATATTTTAGTTTTTCCTTGATTTATACACTAAAATCTGATTGTATTCTAAATTTTAAGATTCTATGTCTGCTAGAAGTGCCTTAGAGTTTTGATGATCGGTCAGTCAGTGAGTGACAAAATTAAGAAATTTGACTAGCTATAATTCTTAAACTACTGGCTCCAATTGAATGAAATTTGAAATATACCATGTTTATACAATGCCTACTCGGTTACTAAAAATTCAGGCTTCTAGTTTTATCCATTACGAAGTTATAGGGGGTCAAAAATGGCCTGAATTGCTTCGAGAAAAGAATGGTACGGCCGTGCCGCTTTTTTGCTCGACTTGGCGGGGGCACTGCCGTGCCCCCAGATTAAAATATAAAAGATTTTTTTAATTACAAATTTGAACATTAATCAAAAGTCTAAAATGTGTAAATTTAGTCAGTCTGCCAAAACAGCGAATCGGGTTTGTAGTAGTTCTAATAAGACGTAATTGCTTGTATGTGTGCTCCCGGCGACGCCGAATCTCGTACAAAATAAATTTGACAGCCATTCTATTGTGTATTATAGTATTCTATGGTCACTTCAATTTAAATTAAAAATACTAAAATATTAATTAAATTGCAAAAATCAGTGTTGTTGATTTTTCTTTTATCGCAATGTTACCTGCAAAACCTTTATGGCTTAATCACTTTACAGTAAAACAACTGGCAATTAGTGGCCACTGTCACCTAAAACAACTACACTTTTGTGCCAGCACCAAGCAACCTACAATTCGCAGATTGAGTAGTCGCATTATTAATCATAACATTCAAATGCAACGAGGGCAGTGTAGTGGCCGAGCGTTTGACTGTGGAACTGTAAGCCACGGCTTTGATTCCCGCACGGAATAACTATATTTATAGCCTACCGATTATTGTATTAGTATTAGTCTATGTGGTAATTATATACGCAAAACGCCGTCACGGTACATAAAAATTGGGATATCGCCATAATATGGGAGTACCAATTTTAAAAAAGAAAACACGATACGACTTAGGGTCATAGCCCACTTACACGACTCTGCTCCAACACCGCTCCTACCCAATACCGCTCTGAACTAATGCGACAGCTAGCACACACCCAGCTGTCTACGCGGCGATAGCTAGCAGGCACCCAGCTGTCCACGCGCCGACCGCTTTCGTTTTTCGCGATAGACATAGTTCGTAGTCAGGTTCCATTGTAGTATAGTACAAGTAACTCGTATTTTTGCTGTCTCGATTCACAACGCGCGAACTAGCGATTATTGCTATTGGACTTGACGATAAACATAGAAGCTCAAAAAAACTACAGACGAAGATTTTGGGTGCATAAAATGCGGCCGACCGGCGGGCGCGGCGCGGCGACCGCTAGCAGTCAGCGCGTGGACGCCCGCGCAGACCGCTTGCTACCATCGCGTGTCAACGAGGCGTCGACTACCGAGCAGTCCTGACAGCGGTAAGCTCGCTCTCAGCGAGCTGTCTGCTAATTTATGTTGCCAATGTAAAATATATCCAAAAGGCAATACTTAAAGCCCATATTTGAATTATATTATTTTTGCCGGGTGGGAGCGGAGTCGTGTAAGTGGGCTAAGACCTTTAGGGACCTTCAAGAAAAGAGCTTACTCCTTTCTAAAAGGCCAGCAACGCACCTGCAATTCCCCTGGTGTTGCAGTTTTTCATGGGCGGCGGTAGTCACTTAACATCAGGTGAGCCGTATGCTCGCTTGTCGCCTCACCTATAAAAAAAATCTAAGTGTGCACAAAAACTAGGCGCAGGTGCACTGCTCTTCCTACTTTACTTTGCTTTGCTTATTTTATATTAGTGTCGTTATTACTAGCTTTTGTTTACTTACTTATGCTTTAGGTTGTTTAACTTGCTGACTTCGTATTTCCTTGTGTGCTGCATCCACAAGTTGTAAGACGACATGATAAAGAGAATGACGTTGGCTGCCACAAGCACCGCGACCGGACCATAAAAGAATATCCAAGTTTCCGTGCGACCTGGAATTATAAAAAGCTATATAACAGTGTCCTTCTTTTTAACAAACACGCTATTTAATCAAATGAAAACGAAAAAAATATGGTGAAATAAAGATTAATAAAATCCGTGTCATAAAAATTAATGTCGATGAAGCATCTACTGGCATCAAGGTATTTTATCTCAATCTCTCCGAGTCCGACTGCTTCAATCCTTATTATGATCAAGTAGATTTAAATATATATAGTAACAAATATGTCTTTATTAGGTATACAAGCAGTTATATTTGATTTTGTAAGTGAGTACATCACTTGTTACACCCAAAGCATCGTAGTTTTGAGTTATGACCGAATTGGATTATAGACTACGCTCGTTGTAATCAGGGGATTCAACATTTTTTTGACCTTTGGGATCTTTTAAATAATTATTAGCTATTACCAATGTGGGTTTTCTTGAAATGAGTGTCTATCAATTTTTCATATACTTAATGCAATAAAAATTTTGAAAAAAAAAAAGCTTCTACTAAAACCTATATTGAAATTATAAGGAACGCTTTATTTTTTCAATTATAGAAATATAAGATAATTTGCGTAGCGAAACTAGCTTATACGCCTCTAAATACCATAACACAGCTATTTTTATACAAATTGTCTATGGGAGTGGTCTTAGTTTGAGGTGTGTTTTAAACTTTTAAATAATATTTAACATAAATCGTTTTTAATAATACATAATAACAGAGCTCATTAAATTTCTCTAAATTTAAAAAAGCAAAATTTTATTTAAAACATGTAATTTTTTTCTTTAGAATTTTAATAGTAATTAATGCATTTCATATACTTTTATAATTATTGTTTGGCAACCGAGCCTACCATCCAACTGTTGGCAAAATAACTACTTCACCCCAAAACCGTCTGCAGCTTTGCTCTCATCTCTCTCTCTCTCTCTCTCTCTCTCTCTCTCTCTCTCTCTCTCTCTCTCTCTCTCTCTCTGAGGACTAAGATGCAAATCAGTCTAGAGGGGCCTATAAGAATTATTACGTTTTATTACGATTATGTTAAACTTTTATAAGAATGTAGCATTAGCTTTCTATGGTTATTGATGCAATCGTTTTTCCATTCTTACCTTGAAACCAGCAGCTAGTTTGGCCGAAGCCAGGCTTCCAGTGATCTCCTTTTGCGTAATTAGTTATAAGCGACACGAAGAGTAACAAAAGCGTGCAGCCCCAAGCATAACAGCTGTACCAAAAGTATTGCTTTCTTTCTGTCTTCTTCAAGTAGGCGGCATCTCTGGAAGTGTAGGAAAATGTTTAACGTGTGTAGTATGGAGTGTACAAGTAAGGAGTATCAACTCCCATAGTGGAATAGTTAAAAAACTGTCCATCTCTAAGCGGTAAATAACAGTTCAAAAACTCTCCACAACAGCGCTGGAGTAGCTACTGGGATGAAATGAACTTAACAGTTTCGACGGTTTGAAGTGTGCTGCTAAACTGCTCAGTAGCTCTAAAATCTAAAATAATTTTATTTAGTAAATATAACCTCGAAAAAGTCGTCTATCCCGCTAATATTTTTCGGCACGTTCTTTAAAATTTAACCCCTAGCTATATAGAGGCGCCACCTTATTTAACGGTGTTTATGGACACTTTTTAATACACAGTCTGTACTCCATAGTGTGTAGTCTGTCTGTGGCATCGTAGCTTTCAAATAGATGGACAAATTTCGATTTAGTTTTTTTTTGTTTGAAAGATGAATTGGTCGAAAGTGTTTCTTAGCTATGATTCAAGAAAATCCGTTCAGCCATTTGAAGATCACTGCGATTTTTTTTTAATTTTCAATTTATTATTATCACTCATTTCCTTAATATTGTAACGGTTAATATTTAAAAACAAAACTCACTGTACAGTCCTATACATGTTAATGCTGATTACGTTCATCCAAAAGAATGTTGCCATCATCCAAAAATACACCATGAAGCCTAAAAAAAAGAACAGACGGTTTTGCATTATTCAACTGCTGAGTATTGAAACATAATAATAGAAGCCTTTTATATATTTACCAGTGACAGTGCAAATTTCGCCTGCGAATTGAGTACCGAGCTGAAGCACTCCCAGCGAGAGGAATCCTAGAGCCATACTGATGCACATGCACATATAGCACAGGCCTTGTAGGTCCCTGAAACATTTTATGTTAGTAAAGTTCTGCGAAACAACCGTTTTCGTTCTTTGTGTTAGCACAAAGTACAGGAGAATTTGATAATTTTGGAAACTATATTATTGTCGGGATACTACATACATACATATACATAAACACTCACGCCTGTCACCCAGAGGGGTAGGCAGAGACTACAGACTTCCATTTGGCACGATCCTGACACACCTCTCTCGCCTCCTTCACATCCATACACCTACGCATACATGCTCGTCGGTTAAGGGTACTCCTAATTTGGTCCGTTTTCAATAAATCGCCAATTTGGTCGATAAATTTTCGCCTAGGACGTCCCTTTCCGACTCTGCCATTCACTTCTGCAACATAAATTTTCTTTGTCACTCTTTCCTCATTCATTCTTTCCACATGAACAAACCACCGAAGCATTCCTTTCTTAATCCTGGTCACAACATCATCTTGCAAACCACACTCTTCTCGGTTGTCGGGATACTGTTTAGTATAAATAACTTACAAAAGTAAATAATTTGCCTGTCATTTATCTACATGTTTCTGTTTTATATAATTTAACATTGTTAAGTTTAGTGAAACTGTATTTTAGCTGTATCACACGGTTGGGTCGGCTCGACCTGAGAAGGACTACGCTAAAATGGGTACTATTGCCTACCACACACTCGTCGAGTGGCACTGAAAGTATCAAGGAAAGGAGGAAAAGACGTAGTGTGGCCACAATACTCGTTATGCCGCACGTCATCCTCCTCGTCATGCCCATCGCTCTCTATTTTGTTGGTTTTTTGGGCGCGAGTCAAAGGAATGGACAATATGAACGCAAGTGGCCGGCCACATAATCGCGCGAACGCAGTTCGAATCGAACGCTCCGGAAGCGTCGTTCTGTTATGATGAATAGATGTCATCTACCATCTCCGTTGGGGAGGGCCACGACCTATATTTATTTTCTATGACATTTATTTAATTAGATTAACTAAATATACATATAGCGTGCATGCTGCCACGGTTCCACCATCCATTGTGTTGCAAACGCGAACGGCCTAGTGCGGAGCGTCGCGATTAATTGTGGATAACATCGCGGCAGCGCGAGGAGCAGGGCGATGAGCAGCGCGAGGAGCATAGTGTGGCCGAGCCACTAGAATTAAAGGAGCAGCATAATGCTGCTGTATTGCATATGATGAGAAATGAGATTCTTTGTACTGACCAGGAATCATCGAAGTACTCAGGGGTAATTACAAAAAATTAAACAGCATCCAGTTACCATTACACAAACTGCCTGCTAGTTTGTTACCTTACTTAAATGAAAACAAAGTTAAAAGTTAAAGTTACAACCTACGTCCCACTACTAGGCACAGGCCTTCTCTTATTTCTGAGAGGATTTTAGGGCAAGGAATTGTCAACGCGCTGCCCCAATGTGAAATGATTGATATAATATATATTTATTAACTATTATTAAAAAGTTATGTAAAAGATCGCTGTAGAAGAAAAATCATCTATCAACCGCGCTGCCCCAATGTGTATTAGCGAACTTCACATGTCTGCACGATGTTTTTCTTCGCCGCCGGGCACGTGGTAAATCAGCACTTAAATGCAGTTAACAATTTCATTGGTGCCGGTGGGGGATTGAACTCGGGCTGCTTGCATATTGCGAAATTTTCAACGATCGGTATCCATCTGAGCTACCACGGCTCTCAAATAAAACCAATGGTACATCTCGAATTTCTAAAAATATACATGAAGTAAAGTTGCATAACTCCACTCACGATCACGCTAGGCTCAGTTTTCTTCTCATTTCTGAGAGGGAATTTCGGCAAGACAAAATGTACATAATATGTGGAAAAAATATTTTTACGATGTTAGGTATTATTAGATATATAGTATGTGCCAAATCGATTGAGAAAAACGGACAACGACCTTTCGGTCGTTTAACCAGGGGCTACAAACCTTCAATATATAGGCACTTCTTGTATGTATTTTTATACGTATTTGATATGTATAATGATTTTTTTATAATGATTGATATAATATATATTTATTAACTATATATATTATATCAATCATTATAAATATACTTAAAAAGTTATGTAAAAGATCGCTGTAGAAGAAAAATCATCTATTGTTTAAAGTACTTTTATCATTTAACAACATAAAGCATTAATTTATAACACATATAAAGATTCGAGTGATAACGACACCGAATAAATACTTACTTATTCAAAAGATAAAACTTTATTTTCAATATTATATATGAACTTTATTTTTATTCGGTGCATGCGGACCGGCCCAAAAAAGGTGACGCATCTCTGGCTGCCAATGTCACGTTTCTTTTAGAACGAACTGACGTAACGCGTGTTTTGTTTATTTTAAAGGGATGAATTTGCAAAAGCTCAATATGGTGAAATTATTGCTTCAAATATTTTTTTTTACTATGAACTGTTATTATATGTATTGCTGCGTTACTTACCATAAATTAAAATATAAAATATAACACTTTCTCGCGATGAACCATGCGATTTTACGATGTTTATAAGAACCACAGACAATATTATTTAAGAAACAAGAAAACAAAACATGTGCTGACCTAGAAGTGTGAATAATATCAATATTTCAATATTGTTATCACATCTGAATTGGGATTTTGTAAGTTACTCCTTTTGACACTCGGCTCATATCTGAGGTCACTGTCCGTTTTTCTCAATCGATTCGACACGTACTATAGTAAGTTATATGATAGGTATTAATCCGATCAATGTCTTCCTAAGATATCATAATGAATTTATTTATTTATATTGTTCTTTTTACACAACCATACCCCAATTTATTTCTTAACTGGCACTGGCAAACTATATTGACTGTTTTTACGTATTGACGGAAATAAATCAATTTAATTTACAATCGCATACGAACCTCATTTGCGGTAAATACATATACACAGCAAATGTGACGGCCAGGAAGAAAACGGAAATCAACGTGAGAATCCCGCCGGTCTCTATTTCGTACGATTGGCCTACGTCCTCGAAGCACACCACCGCTACCGGCATCTGGCCCTTACTCGAATCACTTGCGTTACGATCCATTACACCAGTACAGTACCTGAAATTAAAAAAAAAACAGTACATAACAATTTGCACCTCAAATATTGACACATTTTCACACGTTTCGTCATAATTAATACGTAATATATTTTAAGGTACATATAACTTAACCTTGCGTCATCGTAGGACATGATAATTTTTTGTGTGTAATCTATTTTAAGGGAAAAAATATATTGGGAACCTTTATCTTTAGGTCAATAATTAATAAGAGGATAAAAGAAGCGGATTATTATTGCAACATTGCATTAACGCAACTATTAGTGTAATATCGATTAAATTCATTATGCTACGCAAATCTTCTGAGACACCAGATAGTCTTTTTAAGATAGTTTGTAAAACTTTTACGTGGTAGAGTAACGTGGTGCAGCTATAACGTGGTTGTGCATATTGTGGTTGCAGCACGAATGGGTCGGCTCGACCGGGGTAGGACCACGCTCTCACAGAATACCAGCGTAAAATAGCAGCTCAATGATGCTGTGTTTCGTATGGTGAGTGTAGAGAACCGGAGACCCTTTTTACTGGAAACGAGGCATTCCATCTTAGTCCTCAGGGCTGGCAATGCATCTGCACTTTGATACTTATTTGAAGATGTATGTAAATGTTTATGGGCAACGGCATCCACTCACCATCAGGTGGACTGTGTGCTTGTTTGTCACCCTTATTCTATTAACCAAAAAATCAATATATTATACTAACACATTAGTATCTTCCACAAAAACGAATCCAGGAGAGTCCTGCGTAGAGACTTTATTCCCCACTAGAATAATATCTTTGAGAAGCATACGACCGTTGGTGCAGTTCAAGTCGATTCGTTTGGTCTTGTCGCCGCAAAATCCTGGAGCCTTGATAGTTTTGTTGTTCGTACAGCATGGTCTAGCTGACAGGACTCCGCTGCAGCCGAGTAACAGTAATAGCAAAGAGCTCTGAAAAAATATAAAAAACATGATTAAATATTTTTTTAAGCTATCGAAATATAGAATCCAGAAATTCCGTAACGAAAAAAAACCTCACGCTCCCCACTCCGACGGGCACGGAGGTGTGGCGTTGAAAGCCGTGCATCGTCTAACGTCGTTTCAGCTTCGGCACTCGGCAGAATTTGAAAAAATACGACAAAACCCCTTTGTCGTATCCCCTCAGTTTCAAGGCACTCCCCCTTGTTGCCGCAGCCAGTATCGGAATCCTCGGCGTCGACATATCGAGTGACGTGCAGTTTCGTGGTCACTTGAAAGGGAAGGCCAAATTGGCCTCTAAAAAGCTTGGCGTGCTCAGCAGAGCGGGACAGTATTTCATGCCGGCACACCGCCTGCAACTTTACAAGGCGCAGGTTCGGCCGCACATTGAATACTATTCCCATCTCTGGGCTGGTGCTCCCCAGTACCAGCTTCTTCCACTTGACCGCATCCAGCGCAGAGCGGCTCGAATCGTCGACGACCGAGTGCTTTCCGATCGGCTCGATTCACTGGCGCTGCGAAGTGATGTTGCATCTCTTTGCGTATTTTATCGCATCTATCGCGGGGAGTGCTCTGAGGAATTGTTCGGATTAATTCCAGCCGCCAAATTTCGTGAACGCACTACACGTCAAACGTCCCGATACCATCCACACCATCTGGATGCTTGGCGGTCCACCACTGTACGTTTCACAAGGAGTTTTCTTCCACGTACAACCTCTCTGTGGAATAGTTTACCACCGGCGATTTTTCCGGACCGATACGACCTGGGGACCTTCAAGAAAGGAGCTTACTCCTTTCTAAAGGGCCGGCAACGCACCCGCAATTCTCCTGGTGTTGCGGTTGATCATGGGCGGCGGTAGTCACTTAACATCAGGTGAGCCGCATGCTCGTTTGTCCCTTCTTCTATAAAAAAAAAAATATCGGCACGGTGTTTGTGTGCGTGCGACTAGACGTATGCGTGTACACTAGCTGCTAACTCAATGATGAAAATTCCTGAATAACCTACATGTATTGTAAGATATTAAAAATATTTTAAACAATATTAACTTCTCATTTATTCAATAAGAGAAAAAAAATTGTTTTCTTATCGGTCACCACGCTCAAAAAGTGTAACTTGATTTAATATCAAAGACTTAACTGCATAAATAAAATAAATAAATAATTATAATTGCATAAGTTGATAAAAAATGCTATGCAATAGCTTTACCGCGGCAGTCACCGAGTGCCACACGTATTTTTTTTAATTAATAAAGATTAACTAAGTTTTATTATCGCATCTGGTTGAAATTTGGCCATTTAATTGGTTAAAGCGTTTTGTATGGGAAATATGAGTGTGTTGCTGCAAGTAAAATAAAGTTAACATAACATGTACTCGCAGCAACATGCAACATGCACACAGGATTTTTTGTCAACACATCTAATGCATAGTTCGTTTCGAATGATATATGTTTATTTTATTTGCTTACATGAAAAAATCTTAAAAAATGTATTACAATATTCGAGTTTCACGTATTTGTATAACAATTCAGCGGCATTGCATTCAAGAGAAAAATAAAATCAATAGCTTCTATAACTTTATGGTATTGTATTTGTAATTCAGATCATTGGTAGACAAAGACAGACAGACAGACAAAGACAGGTCTCTCCCAACTCCCAAAATACGACCGTGCATCTCAGTGTTCACAGTACCTAGTCGCCGGGTCTTGTTTAGAATCCCATTCGGTGCTAATATGAGTGAACTTAATTGTTGATATCCGAGAGTCTCTGACACTGCATCCCAGATTTCTTCTAATTTATCGTATTTAAGTTACAGACTTAAATCTCATCATGGCATCAAATAAACTGAAAGACTGTACCTAATATTTTAAGACTACATATATATCGTAGTTGTTATTCTAACGTATTCACTTTGACAGACATTTAGTATTTTTTTATAGAATAAGGGTGACAAACGAGCACACAGTCCACCTGATGGTAAGTGGATGCTGTGGCCCATAGACATCTACATTTATCCTCAATTAAGAATCAAAATGAATGAAATTCGTTGTGACCCCTGAGGACTAAGATGGAATACCGCAATTCCAGTAAAAAGGTTCTCCGGTTCTCTATGCTCACTATACGAAACACAGAAGCATTACGCTGCCATTTTACGCTGGTATTCTGTGAGAGCGTGGTCCTTCCCCGGTCGAGCCGACCCATTCGTGCTACAACCATAATATAGCTGCAGCGTGGCTTTACTACGTATAAAAAGTACTGTTTAATCGTCTGTATTTAAAGTTTATTAATGCCGTTGGCTTTAGATTATTTAAAAATAATAAATGAGGTAAAAACATACTTAATATTAATGCGAATCTGAGCTTTATTCTAACTTTCAAATCTCTATCTTATTAGGAAGGTAGTTTAAAATCAATTATTAAATTTGACCCGATCAGACATTCATGAAAACGAGTAAATAAAAATTGGTAAAAAGATGCAGTAAAGATGATGCAGGCCTGCCTGCCCGGAAGGTGTAACAGTGACCTTATCCATAACGGTGTGAAACTAAATTACCCTCCTTACATATCATTAAGGAACCTTGATTGTCTGATGACCCATTTCCATGATCTACTGGTTTGACCTACACGATCCGCGATATCTGAATGATTCAATCAATGAATTTGCTCATTAAAAACATCGCTTCTGAACTGTACGCTTTGATAGCTTCGTAAATATGACTAAAAGTGAACAAGATATAGCTATCAAATTTTAACATTTTTTAGTTTTAGTGAAAATATCAATAATGAATTACCGGAGTACTTAGCACATAGAAGACGATGGGTGCAGGTGGTTGTTCACGACCGTATTTTTATGAAACTATCAAAGTGGCCTATTCAGCTGTACACTTGTGCTAGGAATGTAATCATAACAAAGTATCTAATTCTGCAACCATACTACACCATGGGACACTATCTAAATATGAGATAGTATTCTTTCGACCTTTTTAAACTCTTATAATTATTTCTTATACCTACTTACGCGAATACTGCACATTGAATAAAACTGTTTTTACGGATTAGATTTTGTTAATTTTGACTTTAAAAAAAATTATTAATTAAAAGATAGCCGTCTCGTAATCGTAACCAATAAAAACGGTTTCTTTCTACCATTATTCACCATTTGAAACACAGCAGCATTAAACTGCTATTTCACGCTGTTCTGTGCGTCTGTGCGTGGCTATTATTTGTTACCCTACAAGTAAAAAAAGCATAAAACATGTATACATATGAACTAATTATTTAATCTTATTTTAATTTATATTATGAGCACACACGCAGGCGGATAACAAGGAATTAGAGTATGGGACATGGAGTATACTCGGTACTGGATGGGGCATTTATGGTATGGTAATACTCTAGAACTTCTGAAGTTGAACTACAGGGTAGACGCCAAAAAAATAGAGTTTTTGACTTAAGAAGGGTTTCGACTTAGGCGGATTGTGTAAAGAAATATTCGACTATTAGAGGTATCGGATTCATTTGAACTAATTTTTAGGCCATAGACATCGATCACTAATAAGATCGATGGCCATAGATTAGTTTTTCATTTTATAGAATTATGAATCCTATTAGTTGTATACTCTTATATTGTATTCCAAGAAACAACGTTGTCGGCACTTACGGTAACTTACTGTATTTTCCCTCGAGTTTTAGTATCAAATTATCGAGTTGTAAAGGTTGTAAGATCAAACATTGCTATGTTCGAGATATAGAGGGCCAATTTATTTTTACGAGTTATGGAGGGAAAATATGTACTAAAATTGGTTGTAGGGACTATCTGATTAATTCGACGTTGGGTTGAAATTTCGAGTAATGGAAGTTTTGAGGCCTGAAGGCTCAGATCATTGAAACAACTGTTGTTTCTTCTATGATCCTAGCCTGAAGGGAAGGAAACCCAACATTTATTTCGAATTGACAAGGTTTTCGACTTATCGAGGTTCGACTTACAGAAGTTCTATACTGTATTTGTCATTAAAATACAATTCTAAAACAGATAGTATATCACTGTGGTGTTACGGTTCCGTTCGATAGACAACAGTGTTTACAATAGGCGTAATGCGCATATCTAATGCGGCTGTCTAAATGCCTGAAATTGATTTGTATACAGTCAGTGTGTTTGTTAGCGCCACGCATTACGGTTCCGTGAATTTCAAACAGACTTGTTTGTCAAGTGACAAGAGAAATCCGCTAGCTGTTATGATCAATGGTTGCGTGACTAATTTTGTTTTTCTACTATTTCTAGTTTGGAATTAACTATACAATCTTTGTTAATCGTTTTAACTCGACAACATGAACTGACCAATAGGTTGTAACGTGGTAAAGCAATGCTGCAGCTTTAATATGGTTGTCGCATGAATGCGTCGGCTTGAAAGGAGAAGGGCCACTCTCTCACAGAATTTACCAGCGTAAAATGGCAGCTCAATGCTGTTTTTCGTATGATGAGTGTAGAGAACCGGAGATCCTTTTTATTGGAAACGAGGCATTCCATCTTGGTCCTCAGGGCCAACGCATCTGCATTTTGATTCTTAATCGAGGGAAAAAGTAATAATCCACCGCCATTCTCTCCGCCCTAGACTTGTGACATAGTTAATGTAAATATTAAATATAATTAAAAGCTTCTATATTCCATAAAAACATAATTAAATTGTTAAAGCACAACACACTACGAGTACAACTGCACTGTGATATAAAATTAAACAAAACTTTGACGACTCCGTGGCGCAGGGGCTTAGCAATGAGTAGCTGCGCTGGGGGTCGCGGGTTTGAATCCCGCACGGAACAAGTATTTGTATGGCCTACATATAGTTGTTGCGGGTCTGGATGTTTGTCCTTGTGCAATTTATGTTTGTAAACTGCCCCAACGATACAAGAGAAAATCTTAGTGTAGGGGTAAAGTTTAAAAAAAAAAAAAAAGAAAAGAAAAAACTAAGTATGTAC